CTCTCTCTCTCTCTCTCTCTCTCTCTCTCTCTCTCTCTCTCTCTCTCCTCGTAGATTTTCATGGGTATAGGTATGTAGGTCTAGGTGTGTTCGGGTCTTTTCCCATGTAAGATTAAGAGTATCTTGGCAATGTTTCAACGAGGTCCCACTCGCCATTTTCAGGCTGGTGCTTTTGGCTTCGTGCTTGTGTGAGCAAAGTGTGATCGGAGCTGCTGTCTCCCTATATATACTGGTGGGGAGGTTGGCTGTGTTGTCATTTCTTGATTGGTTGATGGAGTTGATGTTTGCAGATTGGCTGGCTTTTTCATAAAAACATGTGTGGCTGAGGTATTGGCTGTGTGTCTATCAGCCTCCTGTGTTGTAACGACTTGGGTAATGGGCTGTGTGATGATCTTCTGAGTTCTATTATTTTGACATCCTGGGTCTTGTGCTGTAATCTCCTGGGTTGTAATGACCTGGGTCATGGGCTATGTGATGACCTTCTGAGTTCTATTGTTGTGGCATCCTGGGTCTTGTGCTGTAATCTCCTGGGTCGTTGACTGTGTTGCAACATCCATCTTACATGGCTGGCTGAGGAATTCTGAGAGTTGAAGTTCACAAGTCTTCAAGTTGCCAAGTTTGGAGAACTCTGCCTTAGATTGACTCCTCAATTCTTGCATCCCTACCCTCCCATGTCAACCATGAGGTCATGAAGAATAACAAAATAAAAGGCAATTGGCTAAGTAACAAATGTGGGAAGACTATTGATAGGAAACTAACCTATTTGAAAGTGAAAGACCACATGTTAGGAGTTGCTGCAGAGCACTCAATGGATAGGACTAGTGGTTTCCCAACTTGCTTAGAGGCTTCTTGAGTGATCGTGATGGAATTCTGGAAAAGATGGACTTCATCCAGCAAAGACTCTTGATTTCTAGCTAACTATTTGTACCAAGATCTTGTTCTGGCTTTTTATAACTTGTAACTTAGATTGAGATTTAGACTTTATAATCACTCCTTGTGGCCCTAACCCTCCTAGAAATTCTGGAGCCCTCGTGGTACAGCATTACGGTACTCAGAGATTGACCCATTTCTGAACGCTCACATGGGATAATGCTTTCTCCTAGCAGTATAGCTCATCAATCAATGTGCCATAGACCATATTTTCTAAGAAAACAAATTTATCTGGATGTACATTAGGATTTCATGACTAATTCTCCATGTTTTAAAGAGCAATCTATTAAGTAGATAAATGTAAACTTTGGCTGAAATTTGATGGATTTAAGAAATCTTCCAAGTTGAGATTTGGAACATGAAGTTCTCTTGAGCATTATTGTTTATTGTCCAGATAATCTACAGGAATAACTTTTCTTTTCAACTCCAATCAGCTTCACATAAACAATTGCTGAGTGGAGATTTTGGCACTGAAATATTGTTTTGATGCCTTTCAAGAAACACAATCAAATCTCATCACGTGCAATGCTGGCTTTGTTAAATATTTGATTTATTTTTTTCGGTTTAATGATAATTGTATGCTGTTTTATTTTGATTTTAGGGATGTAATCTGGCAAGAGTCATTTTTAAAATTGGCAGGGTACAAATCATACACATATCGTATGGTTAAGAATTCAAATAAGATTCTGTGGTAATGATTAAGTTTGCATTGCATTCTCAGTGAATTAGCATTGATTAGGGCTATACCATTGGCCCCAGAGATTTTTTAAAAAAGCCATCAATGTCATCAAAATCATATTCAAAAGTTTCTTAAGACATTTGGAGCAGACAAAGACAATACTTATCCTCCTGAACTTTCTTTTCTTCTCCTATTCCTTGGTCATCCACTTTTTATTGTAAGGATAAATTTTATGCAACAAATGGAAATGTAGTTTTTTTATTGCCTTTAGAGGGTTTTTGAGATTTGGCTGTTGATGGGAACCTTGTTATGCTGAGTACAGTTTGCAATCCAGTTGGTCGCTCATTTTAACTTGGTTTTAAATGAGTCAAATTTGATGATTCTTTTAGATTCTAACTTGTTGTCTAAACTGTAACTCATTCCCATTGTTTAGATTAAATTAAAATGTTAAATCCTGAAAGACTTTTCTGGATTGCCCACAGATTATTGCTATATAAGATCAGGCATGTAACTTGCATGTGTGGTTGTAAGTTCCCAACTATGTAAATACCCCTTGGCTATGTTAACTCTAAGCACATTAGTATTTGTCATGTTGTTTTCTTGTGCTCAGTCGTTCTCTTCCTCTTGTTAGTTACAGTTATAGTTTATCCAAGCATCCTAGAAGAAGGCAAAACAACGCAACATCTGTCCTCTGGAGCATCATTTTCCGCCTGACCCCCAAGGAGGTCTGTCTAGTTCTCACCGTGTTGATGTTCCAAAAGGCATTGAAAACATGGCTGTTCTCCCAGACTCTGGGGAAGCCTGGAAGACTTTGTGCTGTTTCATTTGTTTTTTTCTGTTTGTGGAATCATATCCTTTGTTTTTTTATCTTATTGTTCTGGCTTTTTATACTGTAAAGTACCCAGAGTTGTTGGAGGGGGCAGATATTCTTTAAATCTAGGCTAATAAATAAATAAACAAAAAATGCTGGACAATGTGTGAACTTTTGCTTCGCTTCAGAAAACCTGCTGTGCTAAATGACCAGGTTCCATTGTGACCATGTTCATTTAAACTTACAAAGCTTTGGTAGGGTCCACTGCCATTTTAATATGATTTGAATAAAAGGAACCATAGGTGAGGAGATGAAGCATTCCTCCATGACTGTTCTCCACCCCTTTCTCATAACAGAGTTTGTGTGACTAGAATATGGAAAGATATTGATAAGTGCCTTTAAAAAAAGACTCTTCTTTCTTTGGTCAAGAAAGGATCCAAGCCACAGAATATCTATGGTGGGTGAGAGAAACATAGGATCAAAGGAGGGGATCTTCCTAGTTGATCTGTTTGAAGTTCCATGGAAGCTATTCAGGCCAAGAAGGGATAAGATACAGAGTTCAGGTCAAAAACCCAGAAGAATTTGCTTACCCTGTGTGGATATTCTCCGCACTGACCCTGCAAAAACAGAGGGATTAAAAAAGAAAATATTTTAAATCATGTAACCCAAAAATAGAGTCAAAGAGACAGGACCACAGCAGGTGCATCATTGTGAAGAGTTCTTTCATCTTGGTGGGGATAAATGGTGGTTGACCCACCCTGGACACTGGTCTCGTGTCAGAGAGAACTTCTTATTCTTGGTACCTTTCATGGTTCAAAACTATTGGCCAATTTTGTTTACTACCATTGATTCAGGATCAAATATGCCCACGGTTCTGGGACTGCCTATTTAATATGTTCCTTTTCCTGCAATTATAATATTATCTGACTTGGAGCAAGGAAATTTTCAGAGTTACAAAATTCATCAACAAAAGTACCTGCCAATTCATTGGAAGCCATTCACTCCACTGAAAATGTACAATTTTCATGTGTTGTCTCCTGCAGATGCCTGCTCTAACTATACACTTTTCAGATTTTTTTGTAATAGTTGTTCTTACCAATGCATATGGATTAAAAGGGCAGGTTAAGGTATATTCTTTTTAAGCAATAACCAGGGATAGTGAAACTATTGATTCAGACATACAGGAAACACCAGATTTCAGGTTTCAGTTTTGAAAATACCTGTATTCAAATATGATCTGAACTGTTATATCCTATATTAATTTTACCTTTTCTCCTTTTTGTCCTGGGATCCCCTATTAGAGAGAGGGGGAGAGGGAGAAAGAGAGGGAGGGGGAAAAAGAGAGAGAATGATTAATATTTTTTTAGTGATAGCCAATAATCAAAACTGATGTGATTAGAAATCTTAATATCAGTAGAAATACTTACTAGTTGAACTTTGACCTTGAAAAGCCCAAAGTCACACTGAGCGAGAGTGGAAGTGAGATTTATTACAAAAATTGTAGCACAAGTTATACAAAGTACTGGCATTACAGAAAGGATGGATGAATTGCATCCTCTTTTGAGATTATTAATACTTCCACATTTTAAAATACAAGCGTACCTAGAATCTTTCAGATAACATAGATTAAATGGAATTTCACAAAGGGGTTGCAAAGTGGGCACATTTGGAATTTTGAACTAGCAAAAAATTGTAGGTTCACAATAGAGCTGCTAAGGTAGATTTGACTAGGCTTAAAACCTTGTTTATCCAAGGACTAACCAGATAATTTTACCCATTTTTCTGAGTAGATGACCTAAAGGTAAAGTTAAAGGTTCTCCTCGCGCATATGCGTTAGTTGTTTCCGGCTCTAGGGGGCAGTGCTCATCTCCGTTACAAAGCCGAAGAGCCAGCGCTGTCTGAAGACGTTTCTGTGGTCATGTGGCCGGCATTACTAAATGCCGAAGTTGCATGGAACGCTGTTCCCTTCCCACTAAAGTGTCCCTATTTTTCTAATTGCATTTTTACATGCTTTCGAACTGCCAGGTTGGCAGTAGCTGGGACAAGTAACGGGAGCTCACTCCGTGGCACAGTGCTAGGGATTTGAACTGCCGAGCTCCCAACCTTTCTGATCAACAAGCTCCGTGTCTTAGCCACTGAGCCACCGTATCCTTTATTATTAGATTATTAGATGAGCCTACTTCTGCATAAAACTTTGGGCTAAAGTCATCCATTATTTTTATTTTGTGAAAATGTCTATAGGGTCTTTATGGGCTAAGATTCATGGTTAAAGGCAACCTGCCATTAACTTCTGCCTAGAGCTGCAAAATCATTTGTAAGGGTTACCATACACGTTCATTATGAAGTTCCATCCCTATGTTTGGATTAAAAGAAAAGCACACTATTGGTTCTCCAGATACTATAGAAAACTGGCATCTGTCCAGAACAAAAATAAAGAACCACAATTGCAAAGTGACAATTATTTTGAGCTGCGGAGGAGATCAATTAGAAGCCTATCTACTTTGGGTCAAGTCAAGGAGAACCTGGCCGTACTACAAGCTTGCAACATTTAATAGTTTGCACAGTGGGATTATTTCATTAATTTGGATAAGAAGAGAAAACAATCCTGTGGTTCACTGTGGTTTTGATGCTGGATAAAATCTGGTTACACTGAAAAATGTGTGATTCTAGCATAACCAGAAATTCACCCACACTGAAATGAGACATGTGTCTAGAGTAGGCCAAGATACACATCGATAGCAACAGAATTAGCAAGGTAGGGAGAACATTTGGATCAGGGACCCTTTGTGCACAAAGCATGTTTACTTGCAAACAAGAAGTAATATTCATAGGGGGGTTAAAAAACTCAAAATGGCAGGCGGGTAAGAAACAGGGTAGGGCTTCAATCACACAGACCCCATCTTGATTATTTTACAACCATTTGCCCACTGACTTCGTAAGCAAGATAGGTATATTCTGGACTATTATTATTTGACTGACATAAATAATTTTGCAGGCAGTTTATTTTCAAAATCCATTGGGAACTCTTATACATTTCTAATTTTTAAAAAATTGGACCAAGAAAGTGGAATATCTGAAAACAATTTCTTAGTTCTCCATCCTGTTTACTTCCCAGCTTTTCTCTCACCTCTCTCCCATACATGCATACACCGGTACTATTCTTGAGATATATGTGAAAAACACACTTTTATAGTTATCTATATTTATAGTTATCTGTAAAGCACATGGTAATTCAATAAGGCCATTTTCACATAATTCCCATAGTGGAAAAAAATGACCAGTTAACAACATTCATGTTATTGTATATATTTTTTTAGACTCCGGTGATTTAAAAATCCATTTGAATAACTGTTATGATTTCCCATATTAACATCTGTTCCTAAGCCCAGACATAAAATTAACCATCTGGGGAGTTCGGACAGAATTCACACTACCCTACTCTTATAATACAGTGCTTGAGATGTTGTTTACACTACATCTATTAAACACTGAGTCCAAGGCTAAAATATGTCATTTCATTATTTCATATGATAGCTTGATTGCAGTTCCTTATGGTCTCATAGCACCTTCTAGCTTTTCTTAGCCATCATGGAGGGGAGATTAAGATCTACCTTCATTGTGGCTATTTCAGCCCAATAATGACCAGAGATTGCTTGAAAATGCCTTCATTCAAAATTGGGTATACTGCCTACACCACAACAAAATTTTCAAAATGGTTTGAAGAGAGGAGACTACTGAATTACATTTCACAGTGTTGGAAGAAATAGCCTTCTGGGTTTAGTTCCAAGTGGGGAAGAAAGACACTGGAAACATGGTGACTGCTTGGAAAGATGGCTTAATGGTGGGCAGGATCACATGCCTTGGGTGAAGAAAGAAGGGCTGATATGCTGAGAGTGCAATTGTTTTATACCCTCTGTTGGGATTTGAATTTGAGCTTGTATTCTGATTGGTTGTCACACTCCCATGGGGCCGTGAAGAGGCAACTCTGTAGGTTGTCCTGAGTCCCAGGCTTGGTTGAGCCTTGCTGGATGATGATGTAATGAAAGGGCTTTGGGCAATTCCTATTATAGCTCTACCCGGAGGACATTTTTGTTATGTAAAATAGACTGGCCTAGGCTAGAGTAATAATAGTCCATTAGCGAAGGTATAGAGGCTGAGTTTCTACTTTTCTTTTTAGGGGAAATATTCTGCCTTTTTACTATATCCTAAAATATTTCATTTTCCTAGGAGAGGGGTGGGTTTTAGCTTCCAGCAATGGGAAACTCATCAGATTATCACTTCATTCTGGATTTTATAATCACCATTCAAATATCAATCCATGATCCTTATTTATATGTGTAATTCAAGAAATGAATGAAATTCCGAAGGTCTATATTGTACTGCATCGGGGTCATTACCAAACTTAGTTTGTTTCTGATGGATCTTTACGATCTCCATTGAGAAAGTAGCTATAACAAGAAATGCTGAATGCAAAAAACAGCACAGGTGAAAAGTGTTTGCTAAGCTATGAAACCAATCAATTCGTGATTGGGAAAGGAAATCAGGATCGATAAAATAAAGTCAAATAAGACAACACAAATACTGGACTTCTGGTTTAAGTTCCTTTGGCGACGGACTGAAATCCGTGATCATGCGCGGTTTTGATCCGTGCTCCCTGCCGGAGCGCTCCAAGCTGGCTGGTTTCAGGGCTAAGCCATCCCATAGAGATGGTGAAGAGGGGGGAGACTGTCAGCAGGGTCAAGGAGAGCCGCATCTCTCCTCCCCAGCTGGCCATTACTCCCTTTCCTGAAGGCGGTTGTAGCGGTGGTCAGAAATGACCACCTCAAAGAAGAACTCGACCAGAAAAAAAATGTGCAGGAGGAAGATAAGAAGAGAAAATTTTGGTTGACTGGGTTAAACTGAAAAAGCAACAATGTTAAGGTACCCTGGAATTTAAACTATAAAAAATAGCATTGTTCCCAAAGCAGTTTTTTAAGCAGTGAAGGAGAGAGAGAAGGGAAAGGATTTGGTTTTTTTCCCTTCCCTTTTTTATACTGACAGCTAAGAGACTTAAGCAAGAAACTGAAAAAAAATCCACTTTGACATTAATAGGCATTTAAGCTGAAAATAAAATGTCAAAAGAATAATAAAGATTTCTGGATACTTAAAAGCTTTTAAAAACAGGAAAGGAGAGAAAAAGAATAAAAGGGCAGGATCTGGAAAAATGGAGGAGACTGCCTGGAATTAAAAGGAATTTACAGTGAAACCTTAACAAGATTCCTGAAAGATACATTTTAACTTAAACTTGGCAACAAAATAATAGAACCCCAGGAAGAGAAAGTGGAAAAAAGAAGCAAGAAGAAACACCTTTGGATTATTTGGATTACTTGGTGATTTTTGGATTTTTGGCTATTGCATTTAAATGACTAAAATAAATTGGGTGGTTGTTTAAAAGTGTTTAAAATGGCATCACTCTTAGAAGAATTGAAAATGGAACTTAAAAAACAGAAAGAAGATGCGCAAGAAGGGAGAGGTTCTTTTGGCTTCATATTTCAACTCTTAGAAATTGAGATCTGGAACTATGAGAAACAACAAGAAATGCTTGCAGAACAAGAAGATCGGGACAAAGAAGAAGCCATCTTTGATGAACAAGTAATTTTATGTGGGGGAAAAAAGGAAAGGGGGGAAAGAGAGTGAAAAGTTTAAGATTTGAAAAAACAACCCCCCCAAAAGAAGAATAGTTTGAAAAATAAGTATAATATTAGAAAGCAACAGAAGAGGGGATTACAGAAGAGAGAATTAGAAGTAGAGAGACAAAGGGGTAAAAAGGGGAGGAAGAAGAAGAGGGAGAAGAAGGAAAGGAAAAGAAGTTATAAAAGACAGAAACAAGGTGTAGAGAAACAGGGAAAAGGTATAAGGATTGAAAGTATAAGCCTGTTTAGAGACAATAGGTGAAAATTTAATTGTAAAAGGGATTCTGCAAAGGTACATAAAATAGTATTGTATATTATAAATAGAAATAATTTTAGAAAATATGACTTAAATGATGGATAAAATATTTATTGTAATGTAGTGGAATGTTTGTTAATAAATAAATGAAATAAACTGAATGAGAGAATTAAATTAGGAAAGGATGGGAACATTTTAATTATTATTAATGATTTATAGAAATATAAGTGAAGAGAAATATGGAAAAAAAATAATTATGGAAAGTTTATAAGTGTTCACAAGGAAGTATGATATTTAATTGAAAAGAAATGTTAAAGATGTTAAGATTTTAATGAATATTAATGATAGAATTGAATTGGAATGGAATGAGTGCTTTAGTTACATATATATATATATATATATATATATTTTTTAAGCATATAGTGTGTATTTTAAGAATGTACCAAGCAGAATTCGACTGTTATGTATTATATTGAATGTTATAATCTTAAAGGTATAAATTGAAGGTTAAATAAGAGTTGAATGGATAAAATTAAAAGATACTGTACAAAGGTGTCATACTCCAATTAGTAACTACAGGGGAAAATTTGTTTAATAAGAAAAGATAATATGAAATTGAAACAAGACAGACAAAAGTACAAATTACAATGATTTGAATTGAGATATAATTAAAAATTAACTTGAGAAAATCAAAGGAGGGGAAAAATTATGTAGAAAATGTAAAACAGTAATAAGATATGGAATAGAACATAAAGATTAGCATGAAATGGAATTTGTGTCTGTATGAAGTGATAACCTGGGACCATGCTATTTTCAAAAAAAGATATTTTATTTGTATTATGGGTTTTTTTTGTGAAAACCCAAATACAATTTATAAAAAAAGAAAAGAAAGAAGAAAGAAAGCACAAATACTGCGAGTTGATTTAGATAAGTATTTCTCCTTGTTTCATGGTTGCAACACAAAAAGATAATATAAATAAGCCATCCAAAATCACATACAACAAACTTACATTTTGTGCCACCACAACCAATACAACACTCATATAGATGTCATACACCAGCATTAGATAACAATCAAGTTGCAGAGGGAAGAGGTCATATTGGTATAACTTCAAATTACAGATGTGAGAGTATGCTTTCACCTGTGGTCTTTTGTTAGGCACACCTTGTTTATAATTAATATAATCTATTCTACACCAACACTAGATGGGAGTCCAGAGTTGCTGTTTTGGTGTGTCTGTGCTGCCATCTCATGGTCATTTGCAATACTGCAACCACTGTATGGTAATCCATTTATGTTTTAAACATCCTTGGCCAAGAAAAAGCTAGTACAGCAGAGAAGAGTTTGGGAAATCATTTAACATTCCTTAAAATTTTGAAATGAATTTCCAAAATCTGTTGGATTCATTTCCGAAATATAGTTTTCAGTTTTAATTCCACAACAGCAGTTCTGCCCATTCAAAAATATCATACTTCGTTCCATAGGAGCAAACGGTTTTCTGCACATATAGAATTGCTCTTATTAAGTATATTGTTGTTTTAAACAAATCTAAGAATCTAGCATACAGCTGTTTAATAAAGACGAAGATAGAGTTTGCAAATTTCTCAGCACAAATCACTATTGCGTCTTTCTCATCTGCCAAAGAAAGCTATTCCTGGGCTAGAAATCTGAATTTCCGCTCTAATCCCAACTAAAGTCAAGAATGCTGGGAAATATATTTTAGTTCCATCTGGAGAGCTTCAAGTTTTCTACCTCTACATTCCCTGTAAAGATGGATCCTCAAAAACATCCCTGACATTTGTTCTTTTCCATGAACTTGAAACTTAATAAGCAGAATGCAGCATGCAAAATTAATTGAACATCTTATTACCATTTCTCCTTTCTGTCCAGGTTGTCCCTGAAACAAGATAAAAAAAAGAAGCGGGTTTCAGTATAAACCTTTTGAACATTACGATCAGAAATTATTTTAGATTTGTCCATTCATCAGCTAGAGAGAGGAGAAGAGGAAAGGAAGGGAGCGGAGGAAAGGGAAGGGAAGGGAAGGGAAGGGAAGGGAAGGGAAGGGAAGAGAAGAGAAAAGAAGAGAAGAGAAGAGAATTTAAGTATTGCTGCAAAAGGTTACTTTCTAATCTAATTTATGGAAAATTTCACAGTATTTTGCTCACTGTTGCCCTTTGTCTATTAACCCACCTAAGTTTCTTCTCTGATCATTTTGAAATAAACATTTTAAACAACCTTCTGGACAGAAATGTGAGGGGGAGAATTATTGGAATTGGGGAGCGGGGACTCAAAGGCTAAAGGAGAAGAATGAGAACAGCAGAAAATGACTTCACTTACTGGTTTGCCATCCAAACCAATTGGACCCTAAAAAGAGAGGGAGAAAAGGGGGGAGGAGAAGGGAGAAGAAAGAGACAGATCAATTGATTTAAATAGCAAGGATTTCTTTTTATAGCATGTTTTTGTCTTGCCAGTACAACCAACCACCTTGATCAGGGGTCTGCAACCTTGGCAACTTTAAGACTTGCGGACTTCAAAGCAAAGCTGTCTGAGGAATTCTGGGAGTTGAAGTCCACAAGTCTTAAAAGTTGCCAAGGTTGGAGACCTCTGGCCTTGATCATGCAATGTTAGGACCAGAGATATAAATACATCAAAAACTGGGGGGGAAAAAGAAAGACAGTGTTTAAAATATGCAGGCATGTACTATTCTAACAGTGCAGTTGGTACATATCACAAGGATTGTGGGAAAGGGAACTAGGGATAAACTGAATCATTACCTCACGATAGATATGGCATGAAGTACCGGTAGCCCTCAACTCACAAGCACAACTGAGCCCAACTTTCTGTTGCTAAGTCAGACATTTGTTATGAGGGCTTTGCAACCTCATAACCTTCATTTGTTATGAAGGCTTTGCAACCTTTCTTGCCACAGTTGTTAAGTGAACCACTGCAGTGGTAATCAAAGTTACAGTGGCCAAGCATCCGAATTTTATTCACACGACCATAGGATGCTGCAACAGTTGTGTGAAAAATGGTCAAAAGTCACATTTTTCAATGCCATTGTAACTTTGAATGGTCACTAAAACAAACTTTTGTACGTCGAGGACTCCCGTATATTACCGTATTACATGTCAGCAAAGAAGTTCATAGAGAAAGGCAGATTATTTTAGGATTGTTATAAATTATGGCCAATTGTCTCCTGTAATGCAGCAAAACCCAATAAGGATGTTAAAGAAATGGGCCTTATTTATAGTATTCCTATATTTCTTTGCCCAGTTTTGTTTCCCTGCTGCTGTTAATTTACAGTCTGTTCAGTTCCCTGATAAAATGGTGTTGCGTGGTAGGCAGGTACATTCTCAAATATTATTTTTTCCTACTGGAATTTACAGAGTTTTAACTCCAAGATGTCATTCCACTGAACATTTAACCATAACACTGACTGAACTGGAAATTAAGCCAAATGATTTATGCATTTTGCAGCTGGTTTGAGGTTATAGTATTTATTTTATTGAATTATTGTGGAAGGAAATTCCAAGCTAGTTACCTTTACTATAAAAATTGGATAGGGGGATGCAAATCACCGCAAATCTGTTTCAAATATCGGATCTGGTTAAATGAATTGATTTGAACTAAAGCAATCCATAACAAATTCTATTTTATGCATTAAACTGCTATGCTATGGCCATTTGATGTATGGTTTGATTTGAAAACATGATGCAATTTGTTGCTTTTGAATCAGTCAGATCTTAGATCAAAACATTACAGTAAAACAAACAAACAATGTATTTTACATGGTATATTTTCAACTTGACCATTTTCTAAGGATCCTACTTACTGGAAACCCAGGAAAACCTCTTGTTCCAGGCTGTCCCTGAGGAATACAAAACAGAACAAGAAATTTGAAGAAATAAATCAGGCTGCAGCATTTTTCTTGCTATTTCACTTCTATTGAGCTTTAATTTCCTCCGTTCCATCATTAGCCAGATGAAAATGGCTGCACCCGTTTTAGATTAACTCCTAAGCATGGAAAATAAATTGTACAAATCAAAATTATTTCAAAGGTGATAGAATTCACAGGAAAATCTTAAACTTTCTTGTCTCATCAAGTGCATTTTTTTTTTACATTTGGTCATGAGCATTAAACAACTTTCTATTTTTTTATTGGTGATTACATCTTTTCCTTTGTGTCTTTTTCCAAATCATGGACATACCTATGTATATATAGTGTGCCCGATGTGGCTAATTTCATTCCCTGAAATTGCTTCCATGATCTCTTGGCAATATGGAAACCCTTCTTTTTTTCCCCCATGTGGTTCAGTTTCAAGCATATTTTCAAGCCACATCAATGATGGGTCTTCAAAAAATTGAACATTGCATATGTGGTTGTAAACACACGCTGGAGCTAAATTAAGAGGGTAGAAAATGTATTTTCCCCAATCAGTATGGAAGTAACTAATTGGAACAAACCAAAACCAGCAGCTATATAGTGGTCTGTCACATTGAATGCCACTTGCCAATTCCATCACATCATTACAAAAATACAACATCCAGAAATAGGCAACCTAGTGACTTCTAGTTGAGGTTTTGGATTTCAACTGCTTTTTGCCTTAGAAAACATAGCCAATGGTAAGGAATTTGGAGAGGTGTAATCCAAAACACTTGGAAGGCCTAGAGTGCCTACCCCGCATGTATGAATGTTGAATGAAACTGATCGGTGCAGATGTTCACCGGCAGCATATCCAAATAGCCGACCCTAGGAAACGGTATCTGTTAAATCCAAAATACAGATGTTTCTGGGCATGACCAACGTGACTGGGTATGATGAAAGACCTAGGGAACTTGGCCAAAGCTAATTCAGGTATATGGAGTACTGGGTGAACTCAATTGGTGAAGCCAAACAAGCCAACGAAGAATTAGGAAACCCTTTACTAATTAGAGGTATTTTCAGGGCCATCTATTGTGGACTTGAAAAAACACAGCTTTAATAAAACAATCGAACATGTGTAGCCAAGTCCTGTATGAAGTGATCCTCAGAGAATAGGGATGCTGGGAGCAGGAAGTAGAAGGGGGTCGTGTTTCAGAGCGCACACCAGTCAACTGGAATGGCAGCATTTGTGTCATCATCTCTTTATAATGACCCCATAATCCCTCGTGGGGTGGAGTCTGGGCAACTGAACGGAGCTAAGGGTTGATTGACTGGATGCCCTTCCTGTCGCCAAGGCGGAGTTATATTCAGCAGATATAGTCTCATCATGCCCAGAGAGAGAATATATCTGCCTCTACCTAGGATCAAACTCACAGCCTCCTGATTGTGAGGTGAGAGCTCCACCTCGAGGCCATCACACCACTCAATGGCAGCATTCGTATGCAAGAATAAAACGAGGAGGATGGATCCGATTGCTCTGTTCTAATAGCAGATGGTGAATGGACAGGTGGGAGGCTGGGCAGGATTGTTTCTGATGTGGAGGAAGAAGAAAATGAAGGTGGAGGTTCCCTTCTCTGCAAGTTGGGGAAGACTGAGGACAATTTCATACCTTCCTGCCCTCCTAAAAGGATAGCACATGTTCACACACCGGTGTGTGAACATGACACAAATTAAGGTTATGGAAAAAAGACCTTGCAAACTGTAAAAAACAAGAATGCTTTAAACTTTCTTCTTTTCCTTTTCTTTTTCTTTTTCTTCTTGTTCTTTTTCTTTCTATTTCCCTTTCTCTCTCTTCTCTAAATTTTTCTTCTTTTTGCTTTCCTTTTCCCCTTGCCTTTCTTCAGTTTATTTGTGTATGTATTGTCGGTTGGTTTTAATTGTAAAATTAATAAACTATTTTTTTAAAAAAAAAGATAGCACACGATCTTCAAGGTGGAAGAAACAGGAAGTATAAATCAGCTCCAGCTCTCAAGTGTTTCATAAGGTTTATAGGATGGAGAAGGGAGCCAACCATTAATTGAAGGAGGGAAAGAAAATGCATACAGGGAAGGAAGAGACTCCTTCAAGCCACAGCTGGTTCGTACCAAATGGTTCTTGGAGGAGAGGCTTTCTCATTCATAGCCACAAAGCCTTAATTTATCAGGATGATGCCGGCCTGGCAGAGGTGGTATTCAGCAGGTTCTGACCAGGTCTGGAGAACCAGTAGTGGAAATTTTGAGTAGTTCAGAGAACCAGCTAATACCACCTCTGACTGGCCCCGCCCCCATCTCTTCTCTGCCTCCTGAGTCCCAGCTGATTGGCTGAGTCTTCTTTTGTTGCCCTGCACAGGAGAACAGAGCTGGAAAGCAGGTTAGTGGGGTGGGGAGGGAAAGGGGATTTTGCAGTATCCTTCCCCTGCCACACCCACCAAGTCACATCACGTCCACCAAGCCACACCCACAGAACCGGTAGTAAAAAAATTTGAATCCCACCATTGCTGCCTGGCAAATCCCTAAGGATGCTACATAGCATTCCAGAACCTCTATATCCTTTTTCTGGGCAGGGATACCCCATTCCCACTGTAAATGGGCCTGGACCCATGCCCTGTTTTTATGTAGGGCTACCTAAAGAATATCTTCTATTTGGGTCCAAAGACTTCTCTGAGTTAGGTTCATCTTCTGTTGACCAAAAGGACATGGATCTGTAGTATTCTTGACAACAGCATGGGAGTGGTTGGTACTGATTTCTCCTGGGAGGGTTTTTTTTAAAAAAAATTCTTTTACTGGATTAAATGCAAAGCACTGCAAGAGTTGTCCATCACAATTAGCACTGGAGTTAGATGGCATAGGGCAGTGGCCCCCAACCTTTTTCGAACCAGGGACCGGTTTCATGATTATTTATTCTTCCACGGACTGGTACCTGAGTAACGTGAGACTCCACCGCCATCGGGACGGCTCTTCATTCCAAGCTGCCCCCCCTTCGACGAAACTAAGGCGCGAGCACCCAAACGCCGCTTTCCAACTGAAAACCCGGAAGCACTTTCCAACCAGAAAACCCAGAAGCAACCGAAAACCCGGAAGCGCTGTCAAAATAAGATGGCGGCACCCAAGCTTTGAGGCCTGGTAAGAAATGATCCATGGACCGGTGCCAGTCCGGGGACCAGTGGTTGGGGACCCCTGGCATAGGGCGCATACAAAGTTAGCAAGTCACAGTTGTCCCCTTCCTTGGTGAAATGAACTAAATAGAATTATATCAATTTCCAAATTTGCATGTGTATATGTACATTTCACTATGCAAAGCTGTATCCTTTTTAATATTCTGGTCATTGATATGTAAACAGCCATCTTTAAGCTAAACCATGAAGAACCAATGTAAAGGAGATGGGGGGAAAAAAAGCAGACCTATGCAGGATTGAGGCCAATGTTCAATTCTTCTTCCAGTGTTCTTCTTGTTCTACAGAAATGAAGGAAAATGAAGAGGCCCAGGGAGAAGGGCTTGTTCTGAACTCTAGCCAATTAGTTTGAGCTTTCTGAATCAATTACATGTGTGTGTGTCACAACTTCAAGCTTGCTTATATTCGGTGCTTGTGGGGCAGTTTGCAGTGCCTTGGGTCACTTTAGAGGAATAGACTTGACAGCATGGTTGAAATGATCTGAATTAAAACATATGGTGGGAAGGATGAATGCAGATGCCATTACTGTTGGCATCTGCTACCAGCCATGGAAAAAGACGTAGATCATGTTTTCCAAAAGCAAATTATAGATACTTTAAAGAAGTATGATGATCAAAACAGTAATAATAAGAAGTAATAAGAAGATCAAAACAGTAATAAGAAGAAGTAATAAGAAGATCAAAACAGTAATAAGAAGAAGTAATAAGAAGATCAAAACAGCATCATGCCAGAGTTCAAGATATGGAATAAGTTCCAAGGAAGCAGTTTCCAGTTGAAAGCTTGGAAAATTGTCCCAACAGAAGATCGGTACAAGAAATGGTGGGTTCCTTTCCATTATGTCTTCAGAGACTTAGATAACTACCAGATTGAGATGCTTTAACTGGATCTCTGCACAAAGCAGGGGAAATGGACCGTGCCAGCTGCTCCCCACCCTGGGATTCAACTATTCTTATGACAATGGGGATTTTACTACTCCTAACTTCAGTTGGGAGACAAACTCTCCCGAGTGTTGTGCTTCCAGGATGTTATTAATCCACGTAGCTGACATTTTATTTCCTTCATAAACTGGAAGAACCTCAAAAGGATCAGCATCTGACCTTAATTCAGGAACATCTTAACATTTAGTAGTTGCTAATTATTGATTACTTTTTCCCCCCTTTGCCTTGCATAATATTGCTTTTATTCTGAGAGGGAACTGGAAAATATCTGTGCAGGAATGTATGTACATATCTATGTGCGCATACAGGGGTGGGCTGTTGGGGGTTCGGAAGGGGTTCGGGAGAGCCCCTAGCTAAGATTCTGTGTAGTTTGGAGAAGCCCCAAATCCCACTCCTGGCTGCCCTGCCCACCCCACCCTGCCCCTCCCAAGAGGCCTGTTTTGGATGCAGGTTAAGTGCAGAGTGTACACAGAGGTGAAAAATGGGCCTCCCAGATGTTCGGGAATGCGAGAAATGAGCCCATTTCCAGCTTCCAGAGAGCCTCCAGAGTCTGGGGAGGGCAAAAACGCCCCCCCCCCCCGGCCATGGTACAGGAAGCCAACTAAGCCACACCCACCATGGCCACGCCCACACAGCAACTGGGCAGAGAACTTTTTGCTAAAACTTTTGAAACCCACTGCTGCACACATGCATGCATGTAGGAAAAAAAAAATCTGAACTTGAAGTGAGCCCCTGCGAGGTTCAGAAGGCAGCCAGAACTTTGAAGCAACATTGGAACGCTTCTGGTAAGATCAAGCAGCTGTTTCAAACTGAAAACAGGGTCAGGACACAAGAAAGCTAGATCAAGGCTGTTGATC